AAATCAGCTACATATAAATATTTCCCTGGACAGTGCTCTACCTCTAAGTTATAAATCATCAAGCTTACCCTAATTCTATTAATTCTGTTATTTGGTATTTTATTTAATTCTTTATCCATTATTGGAATCAACGGTTGATGATCCATTTGTACCGCAATTACTTTCTGTCCATAAATAAGCCTATGAAGTTTTATGCATGATGACTTAATTGCTAACATTTCTTTTTCAATTTGAGCATACCCCTGTTCAGTTATACTTAAACATTTAGATGCATAATACACAGGTTTATCTTTCTGAAATAGGTAACATCCAATAGCTTTTTGAGATGCATCACATTGAATTCTGAACTCATCTTTGGCATCATAATTGGCTAAAATGGGAATTTTTGATAAAATGCTTTTTAATGTATTAAATGACCTTTCACAATTATCATTCCATAACCACCTGCTTTCTTTAATAAAGCTATCATTGGCTCTACTATATCTGCTATATTTGGTATAAATGCCTTTAAATAGTTCGCTATTCCTAATACTGATTGCAGTTCTTTCAATTAGTAGGACTTTTTAACTCTAATATGGCTTTTATTCTATCTTCATCTGGTTCTATTCCATTTTCACTAAATTTCAAACCTAAATATTTTATTTCATTTTTTTGTATTGTATTTTATTTGGATTAAATTTTATATTTAATAACCTGGCCCTATTCATTACTTTTTGAAGAGCCTCATCGTGTTCTTCCTTTGTTCTACCATAAACTAAAATGTCATCAATGTACACACATACATTTTAAATATCTCCAAAGTATTTATTTGTCAATTGCTGGAACAATTCAGGTGCACACGCTATTCTGAATGGTAGTCTATTAAAATTGTATGTACCATATGGTGTACTGAATGCACCATACCTTTTTGAATCTTGTTCCAACTCACATTGATAAAAATCATATTTCAAGTCCACTAGTGTATACAATTTTTTATTCATTAATTTATTTCTAAATTTATCTAGGGTTGGAATATCAACTATTTCTCTCACAATATTCTAATTTATATAATTCATATATTCATATATAAGGTCTAAACACATTCTAAGTGATTTATCCGGTTTTTCAATTACTACTAAACTGTTTTGCCATTCACTTGGCTCTTTATTTTTCTCAATTATTTTCTTAGAACATTTTTAAAAGTTCCTTTAATTTTCCCATTAATTTTATGGGAACACGTCTGGGACTATTTATTATTGGTACACTTCCATATTTTACCTTTATCTTAACTTTATCTGGAAAACAGCCAATACCTGTAAATACATCTACGTGTTTTTTTATAAACTTTTCTGTGCTAACTTTTTTCATCTCATTTAACTCACTAATATAGTTCAATTGTTTACAATCCTTATACCCTAAAATTAAGTTTCCATTATATTCCACAACTTCAAATATTGTAATAATTTGTGCTGACTGATCTACAACAGCTACCTGTACTTTACCTAATGACTTAATTATTGTCCCATCAAACACTTTGATTACCACCTTACTGTTTTTTATTTCTATCTTTAATTTTTTATAAAACTTATTCAGCATTACATTTAATTGCGCCCCTGTATCAATCTTTACTTCAGTGTTTATGTCATTAATTTTAACCTTTTCTAACCAAATATTATTATTGTCTTTGTTATTTATTTATGTATTAATACGGACAAAAGTCCAATTCACAATATATTTGTATAGATAACANTAATCAATCTTTACTTCAGTGTTTATGTCATTAATTTTAACCATTTCTAACCAAATATTATTATTGTCTTTGTTATCTATTTCATCTAATGTCAAATACTCTATACTCATATTATTGCTTTCATATTCAACCATGTCAACTTGTCTATTGTTTTTACATTTGTAGGCAAAATGATTTAACTTTTTACATATTCTACACTCTTTTCCATATGCTGGACATTCCCTAAATTTATGTTGCTTACCACATTTATTACAATTAAATACCTTATCTTGATCATTCTTCCCGTTGTTGTGGGTTTAATTCTGTCTTCTGTCCTAGTTCTGCTCATTTCCTTGATTCCGTGTTGTTTTCTTGTATTGCTCCATTATATCAACTTCTTAAGTTTGATCTTCCATTTTTTGTCTGAATCTCTTAAGAAAAAAGATGGAAAAAATGTTACTAAAGGTTTTGAAGAAATAATAAAAGAGCTAAACTATAGAAAAATAATATGTCATCATTACTTCACACAGATAAAGGAACAGAATTTGTAAATAAACAGTTTAAGTAAATGTTAACAAAAAAAATATAAAATTGTATCATACACAAAACGAAGAGAAATCTGCAATTATTGAACGTTTCAACAGAACTTTAAATGGTAAAATGAAAATACAGTTTTGAGTTTAGAAAAATAAAAAATGGGTTGATATTTTACAAGATTTATTGAATGAATATAATTTCAAAGATATTCATTGAACAATTGTAATGATACCATTTGAAGTAAACAAATCTAATGAATAGAAAGTTTTAACTAAATTATTCCCTAATGAAATATCAAAATCAAAAATTAAATTTAAGATTAATGATAGGGTTCGAATAAAGAAGTTTAGAAAAACGTTTGATAACAAATATAACTCTAATTGGATACAAGAAATTGTTATTGCAAGAGAAGTATTGAATACAAATCCAATTACTTATAAAATTAAAGCTTTAAATAATGAAATTATTGAAGGAAGTTTCTATAATGAAGGATTACAGAAAACAAAATTTTGATGTGAGAGAAAAAGAAATTATAATGAAATATTAAAACTTAAAAAAAAAAATATACAAGTTAAGATTTATACATTATCATATAAACCAGGAAGTATTTCATATTTTAGAGTTAAATCTCATTTGAAATATTATGTAACACCTAAAAATAATAAAACTGTTAATTTTAAACAAGATTGTCTTATTTAAAATGAATTTGAAAAAAAGAAATTGAAATTGAACATTGAATCTTAGCTAAAAAAATATAAACTGTAATAAAAATGGAAGAAGATAATAAAGTTGCAGAAATTTTAATAAAAAGACATGTATTATGTGTAAAACACCAATTACATATAAAAATATATATGGTTTAGGCATTTAAGAACACTAAAACATTAAAGAAATGATCCAAATGGAACTATTGAAACTAGATTTCATGAAAAAACTATACAGATAATTGAAAATAGTATCCCAAAACTTAGAAAAGAGAGAATAATGAAACTTCACAAAGTTTTCTGGGAATTTCCTAAAATAGAAAAACAAAAACGAATGAAAAAAATTGACTGTAGCGGAATATATTTTGAAGATAAGATTCCAACACACATAATATTCTCAAAGTTGGATGATAGCTTATTTGAGAGAGAAAGACCTGCTTTAAAGAGTGTTGATATTACTACTGATAATCTACTTTTAAAGGGAGAATATTATCATTTATTATTGAAAATATGCGACAATTTAAAGATATCAATCAATTTTTGAATTATTAAAAAAAGTTTGTTAAGAAAAATATGTTAGAATATTTAAAAGAGAAAGGTAATTTTATTTCTAATATAATTATAATAAATATCTATTATAGTAAATTGTAAATATGTTAAGAAAATCCATCAAACGAGGAATTATATACAGGCTTTAGATCAGAAATTGAACGTTTCCTTCATTCTAGTAATTGTAATGACTTTTATAACAATGTAAAAAAAACAATTCAATCTCGTGAAGATACATTTATAGCTAAGGGTTTTGGTTGGATGTTTAACCAGGTTACAAATATGAACTTGAACATGTAAAAATATAATCCACTTAGAGAGGCATTATATATTGAATTACCAACAATTTTTTTATGAGAAAATAAAAGATGAAGCTTTTTATATTGCAAAAAATTATTTATAAGTAAATAAACCTATGATAATAACCAAAGAACAAGAAACTAAATTTGAAAAAGAAAATAATTGTCATATATGTGGAAAATCTTTGATGGATTTATCACCAATACTAGTGAAGAATCAGAGAATACTAAATGAAATTAAAAATCTTCAAGAACTCATAGAAAAGGTTAAAGATCATGTTCACTTAACAGGAAAATATTGAGAAACTGCTCATTCTATATGTAATTTAAATTATAAGGTTCCTAGATTTATTCCAGTATTTTTCCATAATCTATCTGGTTATGATGCACATTTATTCATAAAAGAATTAGGTATTGATAAAGATAATATAAAAACTATTGCAAGTAGTAAAGAAAATTATATATTATTTTCAAAAAATATATGATATATGAATATAGATCCAATTATTAAAGACCCTGTTTTAGATCAGAAAGGAAAATTAGTTAAAACAGTTGAAATAAGATTTCTTAATTCTTTCAAGTTCTTATTTAATTCTTTAGAAGCTAATACTTTAATATCAAATCAGTTTAAAGAATTATCTAAACATTATCCTGAACAATTGGATTTAGTAAAAAGAAAATTGGCTTATCCTTATAAATATATGGATTCTCCAGAAAAATATGATGAAGAATCTTTACCTTCTATATATAAATTTTACAGCTGAACATGTAACACAAAATGCATATGAAAATGCTAAAAAATTTGGGAAACATTCGAAATAAAAAATATAAGAGACTTTACCATACTTTTTAATAAAATAAATGTATTATTACTTACAGATGTAATGGAAAATTATAGAGATATTTCAATAAGACATTTTAAGTTGGTTCCTGTTCATTATTATACTCATTATTAACTCTAGGTTTTGCGTGGAATGCAATGTTTAGAAAAACAGGTGTAGAATTAAAACTATTAAGAGATATTGATATGTATTTAATGTTTGAACTAGGAATAAAAGGAGGATTATCTTAATATGTTATTAGATATTCTAAAGCAAGTAATAAATTTATTGGAGAAAAAATCAAAAAAAAATCAACGAAATATATCCTAGAATTGGATGCAAATAGTTTCTATGGATGGATGATGTGTAATTATTTACCATATAAAGGTATTAAATGGTGTAATCCTGATTTGTGTAATGCAGAAAAAATTTTGAGAAAGAAAGATGGCAAGGAAAACGGCTATATTCTCGAAGTAGGTTTGAAATATCCTGAAGAGCTTCACGATCTTCATTCTGGTTATCCACTGGTTCCACTGTATTTGATAATAAAGAATTACCAAAATTAACCACAACTCTATATGATAAGAAAAAATATATTCTATATTATATTAATCTTAGGCTTTATTTAAGTTTAGGTTTAAAATTAGAGAAAATACATAGGGTAATAAAATTTAATTAAAAAGATTGGTTGAAACCGTATAAAGAATTTAACACAAATCTTCGTTCAAAAACAGATAATAAATTTGAAAAAGATTATTATAAGTTAATGAACAACAGTGTATTTGGTAGGACTATGATGAACACTAAGGAATAATGAAGATATAAAATTCATTAAAGATGAAAAAAAAAAAATAGCAACTATTTTTACAGAAAACTTAGTAGCTGTACAAATAAAAAAAATTATGGTTGAATTAAAACAAACAATTTATTTAGTAATGTGTATTTCAGATTGATATTTATAATTGTCTAAACGAAAAAAATCCAAAATATGTAAAACAGAACACTATTAGAACAGAAAAACATGAAATATATAACTTTGAACAAAACAAAAAAGCTCTTAGTGAATATGATGATAAAAGATATATTCTAGAAAATGGTACGAATACTTTAGCTTGGGGACATTCTTTAACAAAAGTAGAAAGAGAAAATTACAGAGAATACCTTGATAAATTAATATTGATTTTATAAAGTAAAATAATAACAATAAAAAAGAATGATAATTTTAATATAAATTATTTTTGAGATATAATCTATTTCACACGCAATACATAACATATAACATTATTTATTTTTGTTAAAGAGAACTATACCTAGTACAATGTTTATGTAATAATTGTTTTCATTATTATCTTTTCAATTAATTTTTTGAATATTATTTTTAATTATTGTTTAGTTTATTTTTTTTCAAAATCCGAAAGTACTCATTAAGTGTAGATGATACAATATTTTGGCGATGAGTTTGTTTTGATACAAAGTTGAGTCCAGGTTCAATTTATTTGCAAAAATATATCGTGTAACAATTTTCTTCTTACATAGATCTTTTTTTCTAAAATATTCTAAGAAATTCGAGTGTGTATACATTGATGTACTGTATGCAAACGAGTAATAAAGGATTTTAAATTATTAACGATTATTTTGTTCGTAAAGTGATGAAGAGGAAAGTGATATAGATGAACAGTTGAACAATCAAACTGAAGAATTAACCCGTAACGACGTCATTTTCACATCTGACGAGTCGAATACCCAAGAGTCTTACCAACGCAACTTGCGGTAAGTGGAAACATACTTTAAAAAATTAAATACATCTATAAACTATATACTCATCGTAAAACTTTTTTATTTGGATAGTAATAATGGAAGAGAAACGCAAAGATCTACGTCTTTTCCTCAGCAATTCATAAGAATAGTGTTTATACAGCAAATTAATTCAGAAAGGTAAAAATGAAATATATTATAGCACAGAATTTTTTAAATTTAGTTGTTGGCGGAAATAACACAGGACTAGGATTTATATTTAATGTGCAATAAAAAAATTTTAAAATATGGAAAGAAAATGTTTTATTATTTCAATACATTTTGTTGTTTGTTTTGATTTTCTAATGTATTTTCGACGTAAGATCGTTTAGATTCAGCATTTACATTAATAGTTTTTGTATTTAAATGATGTTTTTATAAATAGTACTCACTTTTGTTTAAACCACTTAATCTATACAATGAAAATGTCCTTAACTGTACGATAATAAATGAAATGAAATAAATTATTACTGTCTCACAATATAAATGTGTCGTTAAATAATGAGTAGGTATATCTATCCGTCAACCGATCAAGATAAGATAATAAAAAGTAGTATTCTAACGACATTTCAAATAATAAGCCAATAATTATAGACAGTATTTAAATAATGGCTATTTAAAATTAACAAAGTTATAAATTCAAGTTTAAAATCTAACTTATATATCAAAATATCTCAAAAACCTATAAACACGAAATTACAAACATTATGTTCAAAATATCTAAAAATCGAAACAAAAAAAAAAGTCACATCGTTCTTTTTATGTCTATCAAACTATTCACATCATTAATCGAAGAAGTCATTTTCATAATGTCCCAATAATTGTTCAATTATTCTTTTACACTCACGATAAATTTTATATTTTCCGTTATTAACAGAAGTGATGTGTTTAAAAATACTATTATAAAAGGTATTCCATTTATTGGACCAAAAAAAATTACTAATGACTGAATTAAAGAGTCGACATCTGTTATATTCAATGTTTATTATGTATATGTTTATTATACATAAAGATTCGAAATTACTTATATAGGTTAGATGTTACAATATTTAGGCGATGAGTTTGGTTTGACACAAATTTATGTCCAAGTTCAGTTTATTTGCAAAGGTATATATCGTGTAACAATATTCTTCTTACATAGATCTTTTATTCTTAAATTTTCTAAGAAATTCGAGTTTGCATACGTTGATGTACTGTATGCAAACGAGTAATAAAGGATTTTAAATTATTAATGATTATTTTGTTCGTAAAGTGATGAAGAGGAAAGTGATATAGATGAACAGTTGAACAATCAAACTGAAGAATTAACCCGTAACGACGTCATTCTCACATCTGACGAGTCGAATACCCAAGAGTCTCGTCAACGCAACTTGCGGTAAGTAGAAACATACTTTAAAAAATTAAATACATCTATAAACTATATACTCATCGTAAAACTTTTTTATTTGGATAGTGATAATGGAATTGAAACCCAAAGATCTACTTCTTCCCCTCAGTCATTTGTGAGAAGAATTTATATACAACCATTGTTTTCACAGAGGTAAAAATATAATATATTATAATACAGATTTTTTAAATTTGGTCGTTGACGGAACTCAAACATTTCAAAACCTGAATTTATTTAAATTTATACTCCGCTAATTGAATGAAATATTGAATAAAGGTGGTTATTTCAAAACTTGATTCATAGTGTCCACGGGGCCATCCTCTCGGAAAACAGTAACCTACATTATATAGCAACGATTGTTGATGAAATTTTAGGAGGGTGGCAGTAAAATTTAATGAATATCTGCAACCAATGGTTATCAAATACTAATGAAATACGATTCCGAGCTTATTTCGGTTAAAAGTGTTTCTTCATCTGCAATACATATGTCATAAGTAATTGCCCTTGCATTATGAATTTTAAGACCAATTTACTGCGATAAACACAATCGTCTATTAACATAATAATAATAAAGTACTCGAATTTACATTTGAAATTGGAATATAACTCCAAGTTAAATAACATTAACACAGTGACCTATGCGTATTAATCTAACATATATGTATTACAATTTTAATTTCGATTGTTTCGTTTGCATCAACACGCACCGAGATTGTTCGATCTTAAACCCGTTTCACAACATACTAGATTTTGTGTTATCTCTACCGTACAAGCTAATTATAAACATTAGGTGCCACCTGATGTAATATACCATGTTCTATATTCTCTGCACTTCATGAAATATGATCAAAGCCGGAATAATAAAATTAGTGACCTTGGGTCAATTGATTTTTCGGGGCTTTTATTTTACAAAAAAAAAGTATTTTCCTGATATCATGTCAATTTATATGTGTTAGTATAATAAGAATAATATTTCCCTAAGAGCCCATATGTAAATTAAGTAGTTAATTTATTGAAGAATACACTTTAATTAGGTTGGAAATAAAAATTATATAGAAGTAATAAAAGATCACAAACAAATGATTATTTAAAATATTTTAATGAGGATTTAACCAATATTAATGTATCTAAAACGTCATCAATTAAAAGTTTTCAACATGGCGATTTTAAATTCGATAAAATTGTTAATGCATTAAAAACATTCAAACGTTCAAAATATGTTTATTATACATAGAGATTCAAAACTATAAAGGTTAGATGATACAAGATTTTGGCGATGAGTTTGAGTTGATAACAATGATTGCATGTTTATGGCCAAGTTCAAAGTATTTGAACAATTATATTTCATATTACAATTCTCTTCTAACGTATATCCTTGTTTCTTAAATTTTCTAAGAAATTTGAGTGTGTAGACGTTGATGTACTGTATGTAAGTTAGTATTAAGAGCTTGTAGTTTATTTACGACTATTTAATTCGTATAGTGTCGAAGAAGAACCATTTCGTCATGATTTAGATGAAGAACTGAACAATCTAATTGAGGAATTAACTCGTAATGACGTAATTATAATATCTGACGACTCGGATTCCGACGACTCAAACCAACGCAACTGGCAGTAAGTGGAAAACTAGTTTTCAAAATTAAATACATCCATAAACTATATTCCCATCGCGTAACTTATTTGTTTAAATAATGGTAACGGATGTGGAACGCAAAGTTCTACATCTTCTCTTCAGCTATTAAACATATTATTATATAAGGTATTTCCTTTATTGCATCAAAACGAATTTCGAACGACTGAACTAAAGAGTTGACATAAGTTGTAAACAATATTTATTATGTATATGTTAATTATACATAGAGATTCGACCTTGCTTATATAGGTTAGATGATACTATAATACGGAGATGAGTTTGTTTTGACACTACTGATTGCCAGATAATGTCCAAGTTAAAATTATATGCACAATTATATATCAAATTATAATTCTCTTATAACATAGATCTTTTTTTATTAAATTTTCTAAGAATTTTGAGTATGTGGAGAATAAATTACTGTATGTAAATTAGTATTAACAGCTTGTAGTTTAATAACNATAAGTTGTAAACAATATTTATTATGTATATGTTAATTATACATAGAGATTCGACCTTGCTTATATAGGTTAGATGATACTATAATACGGAGATGAGTTTGTTTTGACACTACTGATTGCCAGATAATGTCCAAGTTAAAATTATATGCACAATTATATATCAAATTATAATTCTCTTATAACATAGATCTTTTTTTATTAAATTTTCTAAGAATTTTGAGTATGTGGACAATAAATAACTGTATGTAAATTAGTATTAACAGCTTGTAGTTTAATAACGGTTATTTAATTCGTATAGTGTCGAAGAAGGAATTGATTTAGATGTACAATTGAACAATCTAACTGAAGAATTAACCCGGAATGACGTGATTGTAATATCTGACGAGTCGGATTCTGAAGACTATCACCCAGGCAACATGCAGTAAGTGGAAAACTACTTTAAAAAATTAAATGCATCCATAAACTATATTCCCATCGCGCAACTTATTTGTTTGAATAATGGTAACGGAGGTGGAACGCAAATTTCTACGTCTTCTCTCAAGCAATTCGAGATAATAGTGCTTATACAGCCAATCAATTCAAAGATTTGTAAATTAAATTAATTTTTGAACAGAAATTTGTGATTTGGGCGTTCTCGGAATTTAAACATTTCAAAACGAGAATTTATTAAAACTTATACTCCGCCAGTTGAATGGAATTTTGAAGAAAGTTTATCATTTCAATATCAATNCAGTAAGTGGAAAACTACTTTAAAAAATTAAATGCATCCATAAACTATATTCCCATCGCACAACTTATTTGTTTGAATAATGGTAACGGATGTGGAACGCAAAGTTCTACGTCTTCTCTCCAGCCATTCGAGATAATAGTACTTATACAGCCAATCAAATCACAGAGTTGTAAATTAAATTAATGTTTGTACAGAAATTTGTGATTTGGGCGTTCTCGGAATTTAAACATTTCAAAACGAGAATTTATTAAAACTTATACTCCGCCAGTTGAATGGAATTTTGAAGAAAGTTTATCATTTCAATATCAATTTTGATTCTTAGTGTCCCTCCGGCCACCCTCTCGGAAAACAGTAACCTTCGCTACATAGCAACTGTCGTAGTTGAACATTTATGAGGGTAGTTTTAAAATTTAATAAATACCTGTACCATCAGTGAATAATACGCAATTAATAACTATAGCCACGAAACTACAAACGTTACGATCATTATGTCCAAAAATAAGAAAAAAAAAATTTTAAATGTTCTATCTAACCGAAAATAGGGTAAATCTTTGACAAATCTAAGAGCCAATTTTTAAGGGGTTAAGATAAAAATCATTCTAATCCATATAAATCCAACAACCATGTCTTATACACAATTCACATCACTAATCGAAGAAGATTGATTCATTATGTCCCAATAATCGTAGCTTTTATGATCATTTACAAAACATTACTTTTTTTAATATTTAAATAATCTTTTACACTCACGAAAAAATTTATATTTTCCTTTTCTAACAGAGTGTTGTGTTTAAACATATTATTAAATAAGGTGTATCAATTATTGCACCAAAACGAATTTCGAACGACTGAACTAAAGAGTCGACATAAGTTGTAAACAATATTTATTATGTATATGTTACAAAACATTACTTTTTTTAATATTTAAACAATCTTTTGCACTCACGAAAAAATTTATATTTTCCTTTTCTAAAAGAGTGTTGTGTTTAAACATATTATTATATAAGGTATTTCCTTTATTGCATCAAAACGAATTTCGAACGACTGAACTAAAGAGTTGACATAAGTTGTAAACAATATTTATTATGTATATGTTAATTATACATAGAGATTAGAACTTCCTTATATAGGTTAGATAATACTATAATATGGAGATAAGTTTGTTTTGACACTACTGATTGCAAGATAATGTCCAAGCTAAAATTATATATCAAATTATAATTCTCTTATAACATAGATCTTTTTTTATTAAATTTTCTAAGAATTTTGAGTATGTGGAGAATAAATTACTGTATGTAAATTAGTATTAACAGCTTGTAGTTTAATAACGGTTATTTAATTCGTATAGTGTCGAAGAAGGAATTGATTTAGATGTACAATTGAACAATCTAACTGAAGAATTAACCCGTAATGACGTGATTGTAATATCTGACGAGTCGGATTCTGAAGACTATCACCCAGGCAACATGCAGTAAGTAGAAAACTACTTTAAAAAATTAAATGCATCCATAAACTATATTCCCATCGCGCAACTTATTTGTTTGAATAATGGTAACGGATGTGGAACGCAAAGTTCGACGTCTTCTCTCCAGCCATTCGAGATAATAGTGCTTATACAGCCAATCAATTCAAAGATTTGTAAATTAAATTAATGTTTGTACAGAAATTTGTGATTTGGGCGTTCTCGGAATTTAAACATTTCAAAACGAGAATTTATTAAAACTTATACTCCGCCAGTTGAATGGAATTTTGAAGAAAGTTTATCATTTCAATATCAATTTTGATTCTTAGTGTCCCTCCGGCCACCCTCTCGGAAAACAGTAACCTTCGCTACATAGCAACTGTCGTAGGTGAACATTTATGAGGGTAGTTGTAAAATTTAATAAATACCTGTACCCATCAGTGAATAATACGCAATTAATAACTATAGCCACTAAACTAAAAACGTTATGATCATAATGTCTAAAAATAAGAAAAAAAAAATTTTAAATGTTCTATCTGACCGAAAATAGGGTAAATCTTGGACAAATCTAAGAGCCAATTTTTAAGGGGTTAAGATAAAAATCATTCTAATCCATATAAATCCAACAACCATGTCTTATACACAATTCACATCACTAATCGAAGAAGATTAATTCATTATGTCCCAATAATCGTAGCTTCTTTGATCATTTACAAAACATTACTTTTTTTAATATTTAAACAATCTTTTACACTCACGAAAAAATTTATATTTTCCTTTTCTAACAGAGTGTTGTGTTTAAACATATTATTAAATAAGGTGTATCAATTATTGCACCAAAACGAATTTCGAACGACTGAACTAAAGAGTCGACATAAGNGTTAAAATTATATGCACAATTATATATCAAATTATAATTCTCTTATAACATAGATCTTTTTTTATTAAATTTTCTAAGAATTTTGAGTATGTGGACAATAAATAACTGTATGTAAATTAGTATTAACAGCTTGTAGTTTAATAACGGTTATTTAATTCGTATAGTGTCGAAGAAGGAATTGATTTAGATGTACAATTGAACAATCTAACTGAAGAATTAACCCGGAATGACGTGATTGTAATATCTGACGAGTCGGATTCTGAAGACTATCACCCAGGCAACATGCAGTAAGTGGAAAACTACTTTAAAAAATTAAATGCATCCATAAACTATATTCCCATCGCGCAACTTATTTGTTTGAATAATGGTAACGGATGTGGAACGCAAATTTCTACGTCTTCTCTCAAGCAATTCGAGATAATAGTGCTTATACAGCCAATCAATTCAAAGATTTGTAAATTAAATTAATTTTTGTACAGAAATTTGTGATTTGGGCGTTCTCGGAATTTAAACATTTCAAAACGAGAATTTATTAAAACTTATACTCCGCCAGTTGAATGGAATTTTGAAGAAAGTTTATCATTTCAATATCAATTTTGATTCTTAGTGTCCCTCCGGCCACCCTCTCGGAAAACAGTAACCTTCGCTACATAGCAACTGTCGTAGGTGAACATTTATGAGGGTAGTTGTAAAATTTAATAATTACCTGTACCCATCAGTGAATAATACGCAATTAATAACTATAGCCACGAAACTACAAACGTTACGATCATTATGTCCAAAAATAAGAAAAAAAAAATTTTAAATGTTCTATCTAACCGAAAATAGGGTAAATCTTTGACAAATCTAAGAGCAAATTTTTAAGGGGTTAAGATAAAAATCATTCTAATCCATATAAATCCAACAACCATGTCTTATACACAATTCACATCACTAATCGAAGAAGATTAATTCATTATGTCCCAATAATCGTACCTTTATTGATCATTTACAAAACATAACTTTTTTTAAGACTCTCACCCAGGCAACATGCAGTAAGTGGAAAACTACTTTAAAAAATTAAATACATCCGTAAACTATATTCCCATCGAGCAACTTATTTGTTTGAATAATGGTAACGGATGTGGAACGCAAAGTTCTACGTCTTCTCTTAATATTCTCAAATCTGAAAAAAAATGTTTAAGGCGTTAAGATAAAAATCTTTCATTCCATATGAATCCTAAATCTTAGAACTGAATTATAGAGTCGAAATATGATATAACCAATTTTAATTATACAATGAGATTCGTAAATTCTTATCGAGGTTAT